CCACGTTGTAGCGTTAGATTCGTTTGCTTTATTTATTTATTTATTTATTTATTTATTTATTTATTTATTTATTTATTTAATCACACTATTGATGGGAGTAATGTTAGGCTAGCCGTGGGGTAAGAGACTTACCCGTTTTCTCTCTCTTGCTCCCTCGCTGTCGCCACCGTCGTCGTCGTCATCGTCGCAATCGTCTGATCGTACGGTCAGGTAAGTGCTCTCTCCTCCCCTCTTCCTTCTCCTATCCTCCTCCTTCCTCCTCTTCTTCTTCTTCTTTTTCTTCCTCTCCCCCTTTCGTGATAAGGTTCAATGAACCTTTCATAGCACCCCCAGTGGCAAACCGCCGAGATCACCGCAATCCAGACACTTCACCGGCCCATTCAATCGGTAGGAGCGACGGAGGCCTGCACGAAGGGCCGGGATGTAATCAACGCGGGCTGATGACGCGCGCTTACTCAAGATCAATAATTACAACAATCTACCTCCGTCGCAACGATCCTTCTTCCCATCTCCTACTTCTTCTTTTTCTCCTTCTTCTTCTTCTTCTTCTTCTTCTTCTTCTTCTTCTTCTTCTTCTTCTCTCCTTTCTACTTCTTCTCCCCTTTCCTACTTCTTCTCCCTGCTTACGCCACTTCTCGCGCTTGCGCCACTTCTTCTGCTTGCGCCACTTCTCCCGCTCGCGCGCGCTACCATCTTCGCGCGACTCCCCCTTCCGTTACTCTAAGTTCCCCTCTCGCTCCTTGTTGTGCCCAGATTCCCGCAGCTCCGCGAGTATCGATGCCGTGGCGTCGATGTCCAGGCCACCGATCACTCACGACCTCGGCCAGTTCGTTGCTGCACTACCAAACCGAATCCGCCCTGGTTTCTGCGGTAGATTCGTAAAAGCGAATCCCAAAGAGAAATCACGGGATTAAAATTAAAAAAAAAAAAAAAAAACCCTAATAAAAAGAAAAACTAAATCTAACTAATAAACACAAAAGAATAGAAAAACAAAAGAAATTTAACTACTAACAAAATCTATCTACTAACTTACCTGTAGAGCCGCTTGTCAAATCCGGGGCGTAGGCTCAACTAACTAACTAACCCCCACGGAGGTCACGGGTTCAAGTCCCGGCCGACCGCAACCGTGAAAAACTAAAAATAAAGCTCCTTATAAAAGGGAGCTAGCTCTGGTGGTCGGGCAGATTCGATCCCCGGGTCTGTCGCATGATAGCCTTGTACCTGAACCTACTGAGCTAGCTCCCACTTCGAGTAAAAGAGGAGCAACTCTACTATGTATATAGTAGCGGGGCTAAGAGGAGCAACTCTACTATGTATATAGTAGCGGGGCTAAGTCCAACCAACGGTCTGAGCCCGTTCTAGCTTGTGAGTGTGTGCACGGTTGCTGGTCCGCATGTCCGCCTGTGTGCTCGTTGGCTTGAGCGTGTGTGTGTGTGACCAGCAAGGGCACTTGGTGGACCGGTAGGCCCGAAGTACCGGTACTTAGCCGTGGTCGGGACATTGAGGGTCGTGGTCAAGGAAAACACTCAAGTGGCGGAAAAAGATGTTCGCGGCACTAAAGAGCCGCCTAAAAATACTCAAGTGGTAGGTAGCCCGGTATCACTCCACGTAGAGGTAGATGCGGTGGGTACTCGACTCGGAGGCCGATTACGAGAAGACGAAAGTCGAAAATTTTTAACACTTGGTACCGGTAGACATACAGGTACCAGACCAAGTCTCAGTGTGTGTTGTAGATCTACCTGATACAACATTAACCCAACTGACCCCTCAACTTCTTCTGTCGAGGGGTATTACTACTTATCATAATCATCACAACGCGCGTCATAATAACGTGAACTCATACTCTCGAAATTTTCTCACCGATTCGTTCTGACCTCATTGGCCGATGAATTCGTTTTCGAGTGTCATGCTCAAGCGTGCACACCCTTTCCATTCCAGACTGCCTCCGTCATGGTAGCCGACGTCGTCACTGTGTCAAATGCAAAAGCATGCCCAAATACCCTTGTAAGGGTATTTGGTCCGACAACGGGCAGCCTGATGCCTTTAGCCTTGTAAGCAGTATGTAAGAAGTATCTACAGGCGGAGGGGAGCACACGCACACAGACAAAAACACACACACAAAGGCACACGAACACACACACAGACACACACACACACACACACAGACGAGAATAAGACTTGGCCACCTCTCACGCCATTCTTTCCGTTTTTCCTTTTCCTTGGTGCGTTTTTTCTATGGTAAGGTTCCCAACAACTAGGACTACTGGGTCGCACAGGGTGCTTAGTCCCTTGCGGGAATGGATGCCATGATATTGCCGTATCGTTTGCGTGTACGTTTGTGCGGATCTCGCGAGCAACTTGTGGTTGTTCAGCTGTGTACGTCTAAACAGTACCAAACCAAAGACAACCAATGGACGACAACTGCCCCCGGACGAAAAATACTACGACATCTCCAGGGTGAAAACGAAATCCGTCGACCAACAATTCGCCATGTCGACAATTCCACCTAAACCGGCACAAGGATTCAGATGGCTTCCCCAACATGTATCCATGGGACAGAGCCAATTGACATGTGCTTAACGGATGCCACGTCACCTTCTCCCCCCGCCCACTGCCTCCGTCCGAAAAAGAACACTCTCCTCGTGTTGCACCGGCCGTAAATCATGCACCCCCGCCAAAACTGCCCAGTTATGGCACTCGAATAAAACACATTCATAAATGTCAGCGGAGAACATGAATTGTCTTCCTTCTTTACATCACATTTATGGTTGCATGCGTTCCTTCCGCTGCTCTGTTCACGCTCATAAGTTGCCACGCTCCTCTCTACCACCTCCGCGTCACAGCCCGTATGTCGACCTCTGGGGACCAAGTTCGGACCGCCCAGTGCAGGTAACCTCTCTCGCGTAGGGGGGCCTCCATATGCGCCATGTACGACATGTTCCCGTGCATCGCACCCATGTGCTCTTCGGCCAGGGCGGATACCAGGAACCTCACGACATCGCCAACGACATCACGTGCCGGCATCTGCCACGTGTCAGGGACGATGACAGACAACTTCCGGACGAACAGGATGACCTCGATGAGGTTGTTCTCGCCATCATACCCCAGCCCTCCTACGATCTGCATGGCGATGAGACCATCCACAAGCGCGTAGTAAGTACGACTCTCCCGCAGTTCCACGTTGGGGCCCCACTCCATATCTCGATGAAGCTCCTTGCCCCTCTCGTGCCTCGTCTCTTGGACAACGACATCCTTGCCGCCCACCCATTCGCGGACCACCGGCAGAACGTCTGACATTCTCTCTATCTCTCTTTCTCTTTTTTTTTTTTTTTCTCTCTCTCTCTCTCTCTCTCTCTCTCTCTCTCTCTCTCT